GGACCCGGTACCTGATACCATTGAAATAATTGAAAATTTGGTACAACATGGACTAGGCCCCGATACACCTGCACTGATTAGACACTGCCTCACCAATACCTACTTTACTTGGAATGGCACCTTCTACAAACAAAATGAGGGTACCCCCATGGGTTCTCCCTTATCACCAGTGATAGCCAATGTTTTGATGTAGAAATTTGAATCAGACGCCATCCAGACTTCCACCCTCAGACCTTCCCTGTGGAAGAGATATGTGGATGACACTTTCGTCATTTGGCCACATGGCCTCCCAGCTTTGAACCTTTTCCTACACCACATCAATTCTAGACATCCCACCATCAAGTTCACCATGGAAGTGGAGAAAGATGGCAAGCTACATTTCTTGGATGTTCTGTTTGAGAGGAGACCTGATGGCTCACTGGGGCATTCTGTCTACAGGAAACCCACCCACACAGATTCCTACTTGAAACCTGATTCCCACCACCACCCAGCTCAAAATAATTCTCTCATCAAAACGTTATACCACAGGGCACATTGCATTTCGGACCAATACCACCTGACCAGTGAAATAAAACATGTACACCTGGCCCTCAAGAGAAACGGATACTCTGACCGTACCATCCGCCAAGCTGTTTCTCCCTCCATACAGAAACAACCACTTGATACTCCGGTCAAACCCATCACAGAACCATATATAACAGGCGTTACTAAAAAGATCTACAAAATTCTAAACAAACACAAGATCCTGGTCCGGTTCAATACAGTACACAGAATCCGTGACCTGATCCCATCCGTGAAGGATGTCGTTCCTAACTTTCAGTACCCCGGGGTTTACAAATTGAGCTGCACTTGTGGTGATTGCTATATCGGGGAGACGAAGCAACATGTCTCTGACCGAATTCGCGAGCACAAATTAGATTTGAAACACGGCAGAACGAATTCTTCTGCCGTAGCTGACCACTGTTACAACGCTGTGGGTGATCACGATATAGTTTTCTCCGATACCAAGGTTCTCTGCAAACCCACGGGTTTTTATCAGAGATTTGTCCACGAGGCAATTCAGATTTACAAACACGGACACAATTTCAACCGAGAGGATGGTTTCAAATTAAGTAATCATTGGAAAGATGTTCTAAATGAAACCAAACATTAAACTAATTTTCAATGGTACAGTAAATTTTTTTCAAGTATTGGTATCCCAAACTTTCACAGCTGCTTATTTCTCTCCACTCACTCCACTCACTCACTCACACCACTCACTCACTCCACTCACTCCACTCACTCACTCCACTCACTCACTCCACTCACTCACTCCACTCACTCACTCCACTCACTCCACTCACTCACTCCACTCACTCTACTCCCCCCCCCGCTGCTGGTCCGTCATGGTCCCCACCCGTTCCTGGTCCATCATGGCCCATGCACCTCCTACGTACATCATGCTCATTTTTATGCTAATTGCTTTGTCAAAGCGTTTTGCTTCCTCCCACACAGCATAAAGGATGCGACCTGGGCTTGGCTGTTTTCACTCCAACGCTGTCCTCATGACAGCACGGTCCCTTCACCTGATGAAGGCCACTTGTGTTGTGGCTGAAACGTCGTGATTTTTGTTATTTTATTTTTTACCTACGTGACTTTACCGAATAGAACCAAAGAGTATGGATCCTTGCAGTCACGAAAGCTTCAAATCTAGAATATGAATAGTGTGTTGTACAGTGTATATTGTGTACTGTGTGTTGTTTAGGTGGTGTTGCATAAAGCGTGTATAATAAATTAAATGTGATGGAAAGTGTAGTGTGGTGTCAAGTGTAGCGTATGTGGTGTGATGTATAGTGTAGTGTGTGGCGAAAAACACATTTCCTAGGAGTTGAGCCATACTTCATCACGCTGGTGAGTGCAGGGTGGTAGGATCGGTTCAGGTATCACGAGCCAGTGATGCTCCCCATAGCTGGCAATTAAATTGAGATTGTAGGCTTCATTGACTCTATCATGGAGCTCTTGTGGTATTGCAGCCACACACCGTTGGTCATTGTATATTTACGTGCGGAATTAATGCATTCAAATGTAGCGGTTGTAATCGAGCTATTTAGTCCATGGGCCAGAGCAGTAATTGGTACAATGTAAGGTAGCATGTTTAATCACACTTTCGGATAAATACGCCTAATGAGTGTGTTACTTGATACACTCGGCTACATATGGTGCGAAATAAATTCAACATGCATACAACACCTCTCATTTCAAATGTTTATCAAATAATTCACTGTTTTTGCCCCTACATTTGGAATTTGCAACCACTGAAGTGATGCCATCTCGTGGATTAAGTGGGTATCTGAACTGCATGGCAAAACAGCCATCAAAATTCACTACTTTATTAAACAGAAATAATGCAGTAGTCATTTCATAAAGTCACGTAGAATGAGAATAAAATAATAAATTGATAAAATAAAATAACACAATAATATTCTCACGACGTTTCGCCCACAACACAAGCGGCCTTCATCAGGTGAAGGGACGAGACTGTCTGGTAGGACAGCGCTGGAGTGAAAGAGCCACGTTCAGATCACGACCTTTAAGCTGTGTGAGAGGAAACAAAGCGCCTTGACAAAGGAATTAGCATATAATTTAGCATTGAAATGGCTGAGTGATTAGCTTGTGACTGGTCACAGAAATAGCTATGTTAAAAGTTAAAGCATACACATCCGCAGAGGCACCCCTTGATAAAGGAATTAGCATAGAATTTAGCATTGAAATAGCTAAGTTAAAGCATACACATCCGCAGAGGCACCCCTTGACAAAGGAATTAGCATAGAATTTAGCATTGAAATAGCTGAGTGATTAGCTTGTAACTGGTCACAGAAATAGCTACGTTAAAGTCAGAGCATACACATTCACCGAGGCACTTAGTACAAATCAAACAGGAGAATTTAGCATTGAAATAACTAGGCGAATTTAGCATTGAAATAACTGAGTGATTAGCTAGTGACTGGTCACAGAAATGACTATGTTGAAGTCAAGGCCTACACATCTGAGCTATTCACAGTACTATATAGTCAACCAATAAAAAAAACTAAAATATAAATTACCTTAATGTTATCAATAAACTCTATATTCTCCAATCAGCTAAGCTACCAACAATAAGTCGTTATATATCACAATGCTATATGGCGAAAAAATGGGTGGATTCTTACCCTCAACTTTAGCACCACGTATAGCTACGGGCCCCGTTCAGACGGACGAGTTCATCCATGGTCGGAACAGAGGAGGGGGAGAGAGACAGCTGCGAGGCGCTATCATACTCCATGTTGTAAACCATACCATTAACCGTGGTGTGAGAGGTATTAAGAGTCAATGCTGGCGAAAGAGCTGCGGTCTGAAGGTCATCGTAAAATACAATTAATTAAGAACAGAAATGATTTAAAACATCTTTCCAATGGTTACTAAGCCAGAATCCATCTTCTCGGTTGAAATTGCCTCTGTGTTTGTATATGTGAATGGCCTCATGAACGAATCTCTCATGGTAGCCGGTTGGTTTGCAAAGAACCTCCGTCTTGGAGAAGTCAATGTCATGTGAGCCCACTGAATTATAACAGTGATCTGCCACGGCAGAGGAGTTCGTCCTACCGTGTTTCAAGTCTGCTTTATGTTCGCGGATGCGGTCCGAGATATGTCGTTTGGTTTCTCCAATGTAGCTACTACCACAGAGGCACTTTAGTTTGTAAACGCCCGGGTACTGTATGTCTGGAACAGCATCTTTTACAGATGGAACTAAATCACGGATTTTATGTACTGTGTTGAATCGGACCTGGATCTTGTGTTTATTCAGGATTTTGGAGATCTTTTTAGTGACCCCTGCAATGTAGGGTAAGGTGATGGTTTTGAGTGGCTCCACAAGAGGATCCTTCTTCATGACTGGAGTGATGGCTTTGCGGATTGTGTAGTCGGAGTAACCATTAGCCCTGAGAGCCTGGTGTACGTGCTTGAGTTCACTGGTAATGTGTTCCTGGTCGGAAATGCATTGGGCTCTATGGTATAGAGTCTTGATGAGGGAGTTCTTCTGGGATAGATGGTGGTGGGAATCCGGTTTCAAGTAAGCATCTGTATGGGTAGCTTTCCTGTAGACAGAGTGGCTCATTGAACCATCATGTCTCCTTTTAATTAAGACATCCAAAAAGGGTAGTTTGCCATCTTTTTCGACCTCCATGGTAAATCTGATGGCTGGGTGTATGGAATTGATGTGGTCGCGGAATTGGTCTAGAGCAGGCTGGCCATGTGGCCAGATGACAAAGGTGTCATCAACGTACCTCTTCCATAAGGTCGGGCGTAGAGTGGCAGTCTGGATGGCGTCAGTTTCAAATTTTTCCATGAATACGTTGGCTACAACCGGAGATAGGGGGGAGCCCATTGGGGTGCCCTCAGTTTGTTTGTAGAAAGTTCCATTCCAGGTGAAGTATGTGTTGGTTAAGCAATGTCTCACCAGGGGGGGTACATCAGTATGCAGTCCTTGATGAACCAGGTCTTCAATGATAGCGATGGTGTCAGGTACCGGGACTTTGGTGAACAAGGACACCACATCAAAACTGACAAGCAGGTCGTCTGGGGACAGGGAAATGCCTTTGATTGTCGATACCAGGTGAGTAGAATTTAGTACCGCAGAGGTGGTTTTTCCAGTGAAAGGTCGCAGTATATCAGCAAGAAAACGTGCCAGTTTGTAGGTGGGGGAGTTGATAGTAGAGACGATGGGACGAAGGGGTGTATCTTCTTTGTGTATCTTTGGAAGGCCATATAATCTTGGTGGTCTGGCAGCAGAGGGTTTCAACGAGAACTGTTTGATCTCATCAATTAATGCTGTTGAATCAGAGATGATTTTGTTCGATTTGGTGACCAGGCTGTTGGTGGGATCTCTTTTTATTTTTGTATAGCTGCCATCGTTGTTGTGGCCGAAACGTCGTGAGAATATTATTGTGTTATTTTATTTTATCAATTTATTATTTTATTCTCATTTTACGTGACTTTACCGAAAGAACCAAAGAAGATGAATCATTGCAGTCACGAAAGCTTTAAATCGAAATTTAAGTCATTTCATAGGTTCACGTTGCTGTATGGATGTCCCTTGGCTATTAGATCTGGACATGGCCTTACGAACTACATACAGAATCATTCCCAAGAATAAGAAATTGATTCAAACTTTTTTATTTTAAAGTACGTATTGTATTCACAAAATTATAAAATGTACACATTTACAATGGTAATAATCTTCTTTGTGGATGTGGTGCTGGCGCTGCTGGGCTGTGTTGTATCAGCGGTATTCATCAGGACCCGGTGTGCATCGCCCTTGCAGTGGTGGCAGCGGTGGTGGCAGGGGCAGCAACTTGACCACGTCCCTTGTGATATCATCCATCAGTGATGACGGTTGATCGCCGGGGTCGGGGGTCGTCGCTGCCGCCTCTTTTGATGCCATTTCCCATGTCCGCCGTTGATTTGACTGCACACGGGTATGGCCTTCATCTCTGGAGACCTGCACACAGCACATGGAACGACCGCTACGTGAGTTTCATTGGCCCAAAGGGCAACCTGGTGAACTTCCCGTGAGCTCAACAGAGATCGAGCCTTAACAGCAAAGGTGGAAGGCAACCTGCCCAACTTAGGTTAAAGTTATAATGATAACGGCGTGGCTCAAATTTCTTGCTCATGCCACTGCTGGCAGAGGATCCTCGAGTAGACAAACTCTGGATGATATTTGGTCTACTCTTCCACATTGACCACACTTGTGTGCATACCCACAAATACAACTCGTGGGTTACTCACCTGACGTAGAAGAGGATGTATGCCTGTTTCTCCATGACCACCCTGGTGTCGACCGGCGTCACCAAGTCGTCGTCCATCCGGAACCATCTCCCATCGCAGATCTGTATGCAAACAACATCGAAGATTAATTACGACGATTATCCAATTGCACCTAAACTCCCCATATATTCGTAAAATGACACATGAGGAACAGAGGTGACCCTCTTATTCCACCTATTATTGTGTTGTCCTATAAGTTGAGTAATCGAACCGATAATCCATAAAAATAATTAATTACATTTGAAAGTTCAAATCCTGGTTGGGACTTCACTTGGTCCATCATCTATCCAGGGTCAATAAAGTAACTACACATTTTTGGTGAAGTCACCAGTGGTTGTTCTATGCATACGCTCTCCCTCAGTCACAGCAAAGGACAATTTTCACCACTGGCTGAGGCCTATAAATGGGAGATGAGCACCACCTCATGGCTCATAGGAGCAGGAATCGTTTTGATTTTATTCACTGAATCGAATTATTTAAAGGATCTACGCGTACGAATGATTGGCGTGTGATTGTGTGATAATGAATGCAGTACATCACCTTGTTGTAACAGTAGTAATGTCCCTCTGTGCTGCATTTCCCGGAGTGCACAAGGACTGAGTATAACCTGTACACTACAGGGTCTGCGTCCTCCTGCTGCGACATGAATGGCCGCACGTCCAGGTGCTCTGGGTACGGGCAATGCTGCAGTGGTGGGGAAGGAGGCAGTGATGCAGAAACAGAGATGGTGTTAGGCAGGGAAGAGGGGAAGAATGATGCAGGGTCGAGTTATTGATTATAATTTTTGTTCTATTTTTTTACTTTACCAGGTAATGCTGACTGAACTATATAGCTCTTTCTCAGAAGCGATCTAGCCACAAATGATAGCTCAACAAAGTGGCTTTTCACTGTGAATAGTTTTAGCAGCCAAATATTCTAGAAGCAACTGGAGGACCCGGAGAAAAACCCACGTGAATACAGGGAGAACATGCAAACTCCAAATATACAGGCATTAGGATCGGGATCAAACCCACGACCTGTATGCTTGGGGAGGGAGTTAAGATTTCACCGCCATAGAGCCCAGTTTAGGTAGATTAACCAGGTGGGCGCTCGAGAGAACATGAAAAGTCACATTTGTACGAGTGATCTCGGTTAAAACCGTGGCAAAAGAAATAACGCGAAATAAATCACAGAAATTACTCAAAAAGGAAGCAGCACAAAAACATGCAATGAGAAATTGGAGAAAATGCAGCCACATTTTAGGAGAAATGTAAAAAAAACTTGTATATTAACCAAACATTACCCGATTGATCTTGTTTCCAAACAGGTCATATCTCTTGATGGAGAGGGCCAAGACGTTCGGGAGATGGTGAAGGCTCATCCTCTTCGTGGCCTTCACCTTGCAACAGCACCTGCGCACCAAAAAGCAGCAGCGTCAGTTTAATGACCGAGATGCCCAGTGAATAACTGTACAAATATGTTGGCGTGACAAAGTAGACAGACTCGCGTGACATTGACGTCGTGCCATACTCACCTTTGGCAAGTGTATTCGTCCAGTGTCTCTGTCTTGGTGAAATCTGCAAAAGCAGTCAGCAGATCTGGCGAATTCTGTCAAATAGAACGATGTGAAGGCAAATGAGTGCTTGAAAAGAACACTGGAAACATTTTGCAGCCGTTAAAACAGTGAGTCCTTATGTTGTACTGGCTGTTGTGTGACATAAGAGGGCATTATCATTAGTTGACAGTAATTAAGGACGTGCTCCCAATTTTCAGATTCATCCAATGTGCAGCATTCCAGACGATGGGCAAACTTAATGTGTTTGAGTGACGCGACTAGTGTAATGTACACGATCCGAAAAAGATCAAAAGTGTTGCTTGAAAATGAGAAAATATTCATCCCAACGTTTAAATTCGAAACTCGTCACGAGCAAAGATACCATTTAATTAAATCAAGAATTCCTCGATTCTCACGTTGATGTGAAGACTGATGTCCAGGCAGTTTTCGAATCTGTCCGAGGTGCAGGAACACTGCGTGCACTCCACTGTGGAACACAAGTAAACGCACGCGCACACATCCACACGTGCAATTAGAGGAAGTTAGCATTCTGATTAGCAGAATCGAATAAAATGTGTTTGTATCTGATCAAATGGGTTGTTGTGTCTGTGTGCTTGTGCATTTTTCTATTGTGCGGGGAGTGGAAATATAGCGGTTAGCGCACTGGTGAACTGAGTTCGATCCTCGCTCACGGTCGATTCAGCCTCAAATTAGTATCTGGTGCATTGTGTAACATCAGCACTGGTGCTAGCCACCCGAAGGTGGCCGGGCATGGTGCTAGCCACACCACCTTGTCATGTGCCCTGTTGGCCTACATAGGTACTTGCTAATAGCAATTGCTCCAGCATTCTGTTAAGGCTTCAGGGAGATCTCTGTATTTGTGTGTTTTGCTTATGTCCTGCTGGGTACATGCGTATGAGTGCAGGGTTCATCTGCACTGTGCAGCATGCGTCGTCATACTCGGTGTGATTGCTACTTGCAGCGATGATTTTGCACATGGAGCTGGCACACACCTGTCGATTTTAGCTGCCCTGTGAAGATCTGGTGAATCACCGAGGTCTTCTCCACATGTTCTTCTGGCCTGCACGTGGAAATGAATGACATCACACATTCGGTGGCTTCCAGATGCATCATCTTTACCAAGTGCGCTCATGGGAGAGTTATACTCCTTTTTGTTTCGACCCTACGTTACTTTGCAGCCAAGCGCTTATTTAAATAATATTCTATAAACTTTGTTGTGAATTTTTGGTAACAGGTTGGGAACCAGTGGCCTAGGACGTGCACTACTTACTTGTGGTGGTTGATTGGGCAGGAGAGATGCAGAGCTTCTACGATGTAGCAGAAGAACTCATGCACGTCCTCCTGTTTGCCAAACTGCAGGTGTTTGGCGATCCCTGTGGGTAAATGGATGGAGGTCATAAGCGGTTTGAACACAAGGTTACAAGGGAAACGTTTTACCAATGCGCCACTCTGCCACCCAATGAATATGTTCTAAATTCAATGTGCACAATTGTGTTGTACTGAACAGAACTCACGTTTGAGGTTTTGGACGATTTCCAAGGGCTTGATGACCTTGCCCTTGGAGCTGAATGTTGCAATGGTGTGCCTTTCCATTATGCACATCATGCAAAATCCATTATATGTACCTGTGAAATGAGGCAGAGGTGGCACATGCTATCAGTACAACACCGATCAAACAGCTCAGCTGTAGGTGCAGCACACAGCAAGGACATCTTCACAGAACACAATTATTTTCAGCTTGGTATTTCAAAGTGTTCTGGGAACTCACATCTTCCTGAGTGGTGCCTGGAGATCAGGTAGTTTGCCAGTGGTGCGGTGTAAGTGAGGCACTGCAGGGTGGCATTGAGGAAACAGGTGTTCCCCATGTTGTCAAGGCCAGCACCCTCGCATGCGTTCCACTGCCACGTGAGGCTCAGGTTTTCCCCCGATTCTGGCGCGAGTCGTGGAGCTCCATTATCGTTGTTATCTGCGCACAAAACATACAGGAAATTTTCTCTTTACACTCGAGGCACTCTGGAGACTGGCTCGAAAGTTGCGTGGTGAAGCCAGAACTTGTGATATTGTTTTAGCGGTGCTCTTTATTAACCCTTTCACAACCATGTATTTTTCAACTCTAGGTGACCTTGCAGTGAGCTGTTTCTTGACGTAATTTCTGTTAACGTGGTCAGGGTAACAATATTCAACGGATAGGGCATAAACCTGGTCCTTGTCCAATATTTTGACTATGCAAATTTTGCCACGAAATGAACGGTTATCGACGGGCATCGATGGATCCTGGATATCACGTTGATTTTCCTCCATAAATTGTGTCTCATGGCTTCGTGTCACTTTTGCCATCCCGATTATACGTAAGTATATAACAGTACATTGTGCAAATATCTGACAAACGTTTTATCTGGAACTAATCCCTACTGCAGAGTTGCTTATGAGATTGCAGTTGCACTACATTGACGTGTTTTTATCCACTGTTTCTGAACGCAGTCCCAAATGCCAAACACGTCAATTACCCAGCAGGGAAGTTATAGTAGATAAGCGTTAACACCTTTTTGGGATTAAGCAAGGTTATAAGAACTTGGGAGAAGATACCATGAGAGCGAATTCCAAAGTCAAGCTAGTGGTTACAGAGTCACTTTGGTACAAGCTTACCTTCCACGGCAATCTTTTCTGGCACAGGATGGGCAGCTAGCTTCTGGGAGGTGGGCCTGATGATGGCAGACGCTGTCGATGGAATGGCGTCCTTCTGTCTGTCATCCGGCATCCTCCCATGAGCGGTATGCTGGCTGCCCCTCCTTCGGGCAGCTTGGCCACCCCGGCGTCTTGGTCTCCTCACTTGAGCGGCTGCCTGGCCTAACCCGCAATTTGCTGCCTCGCCTCGCCCTTGACCAGCAGACTGAGCACTCCCGCAACCTGGACTGCCCTGGTGGCTTGTAACCTGGCATCCCTTCCATTCAGCAGCCTTGTTGCTAGCAGCACGAATATCTTGGTGGCTTGCCATTGGACTCGCTTTGTCCCCTTCATCTTGGCTCGGCTCCCGATCTACCACCGGGCTTGGCCCATGGTCTGCCACCCGGTTTGAACCGCTGTCCGCTATTGGGTTGGGCCCATAGCTACCCATCTGACTTGCCTCTTGGCTAGGCACCGGGCTCGTCTCAAGGCTAGCCACCAGGCTCATCTCATTGCTAGCCACGAAGCTAATCTCACAATTATCTTCTGGGTCCACCTTGTGGCTTGCTTCTAGGCCCATCTCATGTTTATCTACCAGGCTTGCCTCATGACTTGCCACCTCAGTCTTCTCATGGCTAGCCACCGGGCTCATCTCATAGTTATCCACTGGGTCCAACTTGCAGCTTGCCTCTGGGCCTATCTCATGGCTAGCTACCAGGCTCATCTCACGGTTATCCACTGTGTCCACCTCGCGGCTTGTCTCCAGGCCCATCTCATTGTTAGCCACTGGCCTCGCCTCAAGACTTGCCACCTCGGTCTTCTCATGACTAGCCACTGGGCTCGTCTCATGGCTTGCTGCAGAGCTCTGAACACAGCTGCTTGGCTCATAAACCTCATCATCTGAAACACTGCAGAAGCAACAGAAGATGTTCTTGAGATGTTTAATGAAGCCCTTTTTCTTGGCCTTCGACATTGTGGCGATGTGGTTGCAAAGTATAAAAATGCATCCAAAAACGTGTCCTCAAGATGATGATGGCTGGATTTGATTTTTTGAAAAATTTGCAACAGAAAACCCAGAACACGTCTGACCCTCACGGTGCCAGATGAGCAACTGAATTTGTGGGCGGATGTGACATCACAGTGATGTCATTGCACTGGAGTCACATGGTTGTGTATGTAATCGTGATATAATGGTGACGTCACAGTGATGTCATTGCACTGGAGTCACACGGTCTATGTATTCGTGATATAATGGTGACGTCACAGTGATGTCACAGCGCACTGAGGTCACATGGTGCCCCGTGGGAATGTGATTCTCGTTGCCTGTGCAACAAGCACCCTCTATTCATTTTATGTCTGTAATTGAACGAATGTTAATAATGAATTGTTTTTAAAAGTAATTTATCTCAAGATAACATTCGTTGCAGGAAATGTATTTTAGTTTATATTGATCTATGATTGTGCCCTTTTGCATGCTTTGTCTCACGATATATTCAATCGAGATGATTGTTGTACTTTATGTTCTTGTATTTGTAATTTTGGTGACTTAAGTTACTCTTGCAAATGACACCGTCCTTGTCTCTAAGCAAAATAAATTTAAAACTGTCTTCAAATCGCTTCACTTAATGTAATAATCCCCGCAGCACTGGTGTAACGTCTAAGTTTGACTACGCAGCCACTCCCTCTCCTCTCCAGGCTTAACAGAACTCCAACTGCTATTTCTCCCCTATTTGTCTATTATCTCATTCCTGTGTTTAATTGCCCCAACCGACAGCCTCGTGGCTGCCCGTCGATCACGCCGCACGTCACAGCCACGAGCTGTAGGGGCGGGGCTCCGTCCACTCAGTGGTGCTCTTAACGTTCACATTCAGCAGCATGGGTCGGGAGTCTAATCTCTGCAGTTCCCCGTTGTGGTTCCACCTCCCTATGTCATGTAGCCTCTCAATTTCTTTATTCACGAGGATTGTGTTTCATCGTACAAAACGGTACCGGCGACCTTTTTACGAGATTTGGCGGCGACGGCCATCTTGGTAAGGGTAATGCAAAGCGCCAGCTGAACCCGAGACGCCCCAGTGAAGAGGCACTAACGGCCATCTTCGTAATGGAAAACAAGTCCCCTGAGAATTAAAAGGACCTGCCATCTTGGATAGGGCAGTGCAAGGGGCAGCATCACCAAGGGAAACAGGAGCAGGCATCTTCGTAAGGGAAAGTGGCCGCGGCATAGATTGGCGGGAATCGCCATCTTGTCGAGAGCTCGGAGACACGGACATTCTCGGAGATAGGAGCAATCGTGATAATGATTTGTGCCGCGATGAAAGTTACTCAACTTTTGTTCACAGTTATGGTTAACGTTTGCGTGAGTACAAGCGCAGGGAGAGTTGCCACTCGTCGGATTGTTGTCGTTTCTTCGTCACAAATTAATGTTTGCCTCAAATATTTGTTCAGCTGAGGTAAAATAACCACGTGCCCGTGGGCGGCGTGTAGGCACGCGGGAAGGCCTCGCGGCCTCTGTGTCGGTGTCTGCTGAGAGTAGAGACGAGGAACGAGAGACGCCGCGTCGCTCAACAGGGAGAAGAGTGTCGCGCGTCACAGTCGGCTTCTGCCATTGTCTCTCCACTGCTGGATGAAGGCATCTTCCACCGGTCGTCGCTCACGGTCCCTCGCTCCCAGCGTGCGTCCGTCTCTTGCACGTCAAACTCGTTCCGTCTCTCCGTCTCCGCTCCAGTGGAAAGGGCTGAAATCAAAGTGTCGCTTTTTGCGTGCAGGTACGTGAAATAAAGGGTCACTGGGTTGGTTTAATGTATTATACTTGGAGTTAAGTAGCAGTGGGATACGGTCACCACTTGTACGCATAAGAGTTATTTGATTAAGGGTTTAACGCGTCTGCAAGCGTTCTGAGGTAAATCTTTAATAACATTACAGATTAAAGTTGCTAATGTCAACATTCATAGTAACAGTTATATAGTTGAGGTAATTCTCAAAACGCGGAATTATGACTAGAATCAAAAGTCGATATGATTGATAAGAATTCTGTATAAAAAATATTTTTGAAATAAATATAGCATTTATAGCTGTTAAAGTCTATAAAAGCATGTTAAATATGTGATATGTATATTTAAACACTCACAATAACATAGTTCCGTAGCTTACACGATTAAAAAAAAAAAACTCTTTTGCATGTTTGTATATGATTACAATAAAATCGATAGGGAAATATGCTGTAATTAAAGTTTTGAGGCAAATCATTAATTATTTGTCTTAAGGCTTAAATCATAATACTGTAATGGTTTAACAATTTTACAATAATTCTATATTTCAGTTTATTTTGGTATAGCCCTGTGAGCCATCCGGCTCTTGAAGCGGGTGCAACCACAACAAACAAAAAAACAAAAACACGAACAAGAAAAACATCTTAAAGTGACTATGTGACTGTGCAAACAGAAAATCCTTGAAAAAAAAAGCACCGTACACCAACGCTGTGTGCAAAAAATCCCAGTGGGATGCAAGTCAAACAACAATAACCACAAAAACTTAGATTAAGGCCATCAGTCTAACTCCGTACTGCAACAAAACAAACATGTCCAAGCCAAAAAACGTTTTCCTAATCACCAAAAAATAAAGCTATAATTGCAACGTAACAGTGATCACAAGGGCTGTAACCGAATTTTTACAATAAACTACATAAATAACATGTAACACCAAACCCTAGAAACATAGCTGGCTGCATTAGTTACTCCACAACAACAGAAGCATCGGTCGGAGTATCAAATTTTTCAATGCACCTTTAAGATCAGCACGCTAAATCAAAATACATAATACTTGGCAGCGTCATCCGGAGCGAAACATTTTATTTTATTTTACGCCAATGAATAGCAGTGGCAGCTAGGGGTGTACAACTCCTCTAGAGCAGTTTTGAGAGAAGATCTCATTGGTAGAGATTCAAGTTGCAGTTTATTGGCAATAGCATTCCAGACTCTGGGGGCATCAATAGCAAAGGCCCTTCCTCGAGTTTTTGTACGGCAATAGGGAAGGTGAAGCTGGCAAATGAGCGAAGACCTGAGGTCAAATTTGTTCTTTGAAACAGAGAGGAGATCCAGCAGGTAGTCTGCGGATTTTTTTGTAAGTTCATCGTGAATAAATAAGATCTGGTGCACAAGCCGTCGAACATTAAGATATGTTAAGTTTGACCCAATGTAGAGATCACAGTGGTGAGTCCTATATGGGCAGTTCAATGTAAATCTTAAGGCCGAGTGATAGATGGAATCAAGCTTCTTCAGTACAGTGCTTGGGGCTGATTTATACACGATGTCACAGTAGTCAAGTAGAGGCAGAATGGTAGCTTTTATCAATTCCAAACGGAACATTGGGGGGAAGCAGTGCTTGTGTCGATACAGAAAACCAATTTTTATTTTTGTCTTTTTTCCAATATAATCAATGTGATCTTCAAAATTCAGTTTTGAATCCAGATCAGAAAGTAATTTGTTAAATGTTTATTTAATTAAAAGTGACTGCTGTATTAATTTATATGATTACTCGCGACCAATAACAGTGCGGATATTTGAAGCGGTCCTGGGCATCTCCTAGGTCGACTCAGCCTTCGAATGAGTTACCCGGTGCGGTGTGTAAATATCAGCACTGGGGAGACACAGAGGCGGCCGGGTGAAGTTTTGGCCACCCACCCCCTCATATGCCGTATTTGTCTTCATAGGTGCTAGGGAACAGCACTTGCCCCAACAGTCTGTTAAGTTCATGTAGGGGTTTTGTATTGGCCCGCAAAAACTCCTATTCGGTCCTCAGTAAGGAAAATGTTCCCCACCCACTGCTCGCTTCAACGTTGATATATATAAACTTGACTTGAAGAACGACAGACCCATTGGCCTCATCACAAGGATAGAAATTGAAGACAAGCTGGGTTGAAAATGCATTGGCTCAGTTACTATGTAGACAGTCTTTGAGTACTGCAATAATTAAATAAAAATAATGTATAGTTTACAGCGCCTTTGTCAGTCCCCTGCTGGATGAAGACCTCCCCCACGCCATGTTGGCGATGGTTGATTTTACTTCCCCCACGGTGTTCAGTGTTGGTGAAGGTGAGCGGGGTGGGGGGGGAAGGAGAAGTGGGCAGGATCGGTTCTAGTATTACTTTCCACTGTTAACCGTGGCCATAAATCAAACTCCGTTCATAACACAGCACGTTAACCACTGCACCACCGCTCCTCTCGCCAGTGAAGCCAGCCACACAGGACTCGTCACGAGAAGAGACGACGACCAGTGGTCGAGACTAACGATGGAGAGACACCAAAAGGGTGTGAACGCGCCCGCGGGGAGGAAATCCAGCGCGGAGATGGAGCGACGACATCCGCTCACGCGCTGGAGATGACATGGATTGTTGCGGCACCAGTTCGTGACAGGTGACGACGGATTTGGAGGAGTCCACCATCCAGCAGTGGATAGATCATAGCCGATTATTCTGATGGGTGGGTTGCCAGCACCTTGTCCGGCCGTCTTTGTCTGCCAAATGCTGGTGTTTACACAGGGAACCAGGTACTCATTTGAGGCTGAGTCGACCTAGGGGGTGCCCAGAACCGGTTAAAATATTCTGGACCCCCCCATGGACTCTTATATCCGCCTATTTTGGGTGCCGCGGTGGCGAGATATTAACTACCTCGCCTGGTGTGCAGGAGGTCGTGGATTCGATCCCGACGCTAACACCTTCTGTATATTTGATGTTTGCATGTCTCTCTCCCCAGGGTCGCGTCGTTTTTCTTCTCCGCGTTCTCCCCTTCACATTTATAAACATGCGTTTAGAGTATTTGGTTGCTATAAATGTCCACATAATAAGCCATTTCGTTGAGCTATCAACTATGGCCAGGTCGCTTCTGAAAAAGAGCTATGTAGCTCAGCGGGCCTTACCTGGCAACGTAAAAACAATAGTCTAGTTTTAGTTTCATTCTGATAATGATTCAGCAGGTG